TACACACAAACAAGTCCAATTGGTAGACTCTGGGGAGGGGTTGGGGGAGGCGTTTCTAAGTGTTCACCCCCAGCTGATTTCAAGCTTCCGGCAACCCCAAGAAAGCAGCGATCCCCCCATGACGAAGGTCTGTACATGTATAAATATGTGTGTGTGTTTGTGTAAGTAGATCATGCCTTGCTCACACAGTGCTGACATGTATGGAGTACTGGTCACGGGGGTTCGGGGAGGCGTTTCTGTGTTCACCCCCAGCTGATTTCAAGCCTCCGGCAACCCCAAGAAAGCACCGATGCTCCCAGGATGAAGGTCTATATATATAATATGTGTGTGTTTGTGTAAGTAGATCATGCCTTGCTCACGCAGTGCTGACATGTATGGAGTATTGGTCATGTATACCCACAAACAAGTCCAATTGGTAGACTCTGGGGGGGGGGGTTGGGGGAGGCGTTTCTAAGTGTTCACCCCCAGCTGATTTCAAGCTTCCGGCAACCCCAAGAAAACAGCGATCCCCCCATCACGAAGGTCTGTACATGTATAAATATATGTGTGTGTGTGTTTGTGTAAGTAGATCATGCCTTGCTCACACAGTGCTGACATGTATGGAGAACTGGTCACGGGGGTTCGGGGAGGCGTTTCTAAGTGTTCACCCCCAGCTGATTTCAAGCCTCCGGCAACCCCAAGAAAGCACCGATGCTCCCAGGATGAAGGTCTATATATAGAGATATGTGTGTGTTTGTGTAAGTAGATCATGCCTTGCTCACACAGTGCTGACATGTATGGAGTATTGGTCATGTATACCCACAAACAAGTCCAATTGGTAGACTCTGGGGGGGGGGGGGGTTGGGGGAGGCGTTTCTAAGTGTTCACCCCCAGCTGATTTCAAGCTTCCGGCAACCCCAAGAAAACAGCGATCCCCCCATGACGAAGGTCTGTACATGTATAAAATATGTGTGTGTGTTTGTGTAAGTAGATCATGCCTTGCTCACACAGTGCTGACATGTATGGAGTACTGGTCACGGGGGTTCGGGGAGGCGTTTCTGTGTTCACCCCCAGCTGATTTCAAGCCTCCGGCAACCCCAAGAAAGCACCGATGCTCCCAGGATGAAGGTCTATACATATATATATATATATATATGAAATATGTGTGTGTTTGTGTAAGTAGATCATGCCTTGCTCACACAGTGCTGACATGTATGGAGTATTGGAGTATTGGTCATGTATACCCACAAACAAGTCCAATTGGTAGACTCTGAGGGGGGGGGGGGTTGGGGGAGGCGTTTCTAAGTGTTCACCCCCAGCTGATTTCAAGCCTCCGGAACCCCAAGAAAGCACCAATGCTCCCAGGATGAAGGTCTATATCATGCCTTGCTCACACAGTACTGACATGTATGGAGTATTGGTCATGTATACCCACAAACAAGTCCAATTGGTAGACTCTGAGGGGGGGGGGTTGGGGGAGGCGTTTCTAAGTGTTCACCCCCAGCTGATTTCAAGCTTCCGGCAACCCCAAGAAAGCAGCGATCCCCCCATGACGAAGGTCTGTACATATATAAATATATGTGTGTTTGTGTAAGTAGATCATGCCTTGCTCACACAGTGCTGACATGTATGGAGTATTGGGCATGTATACCCACAAACAAGCCCAATTGGTAGATTCTGAAAAAAGAAGCGGGTTGAAAAAACCGTTTCTATTTGTTCGCCCCCAGCTGATTTCAAGTCATATGGTTGTTAAGGGCCCCTCAAAAGGGGACCCCCAATCCCAATAAGACTTTCTCCCAAGATTGGAAAAGGGGGGTTGCAATACCGTGTGGGAGGCTTCGATGCGAGCTTGTTTCCTACGTAATCTTGCGACTTGGATCGCTTCTCATTGCTCACTTTACGTTTGTCTTTCTCAAATCGTGATACGGGATTTAGTTTTGACAGTCATGGCAACGGGTTTGATTGAAGTCAAAATTCTTATAGGCCCACAGCTCGGGCTAGATCGCATCTTGTCTGAATCAAAATGCTGATTGTGTCCCGCCGGCCTTCCTCACAATCTTGAGGTGGAAATCTTGCAACTTTGGGGCCCCAAGTCCCCGAAACAATTTTGGGGTTCCGAAAATTGAAAAAACCATCGGTTTAGGTTGCGATACGGATTCAGGGAAGGGGGGGGGGCCCCCCAATCCTAATAGCGACTAATAGCGACTAATAGCGCCTAATAGCGCCTAATAGGCCCCAAAAAGTTGACTGCAGAAAGGGGGCCCTTTTTGTTGCAATGTTTCCAGTGGTCTTTGGAGGCAAGCCCTTTGATTTGGTGTTGAAAAGGTAGCCGGATCCTTGGGCTCAGATGGCGCTGTCTTCATTTTTTGTAGCAGGCTTTGCTTTGGGTTCCTTATCCTTGGTTGGCTTGCCGGTGTTGGCACAGAAGGGGCAGGAGACGAGGGAGCTGATGGCTGATCTCTTGCGGGCCCACTGACACAGGTTGAAGTGCGTGTTGCAAGAAGGACGCAATTGTTACCATCCATCTTTGGCATCCTTAACTTGGCGTTTGAAAAAAACAGGTATCAAAACCTAATAGTCACTAATAGACCCCATTAGTGGCTATTAGCCGCTATTAGCTGCTATTAGGATTGGGGGTCCCCTTTTGGGGGGCCCTTGACAACCGTATGATCAAGCTTCCGGCAACCCCACGAAACCATTTCTTTAACCTTATGATGTGTTTCATTATTGTCCACGGTGTCGCGCAGTTTTTTCCTGTTGTTTTCTGTTGAAACAAGGGAGGGATGAACACATGATGAAAAACAGATGATGTTCATGGGAAGTTCTGAAAACAACAAATGCCAGCAAATCATAATGTGTTTATCATTGTTCATTGTTTCATCATTTGCATACTGTGCTCATATTGGTTCATCATTGTTTCATCATCTCGTCATTTGTTTATCCTTTTTTTGGTGATTTGTAGGTTGTCTTTTGTCTGGCTGCCCGAAGATCTCTTAAGTCTATCATGTGTGCTGTGTGCCTGATTCATTGTGTATATATATATAGTTAGTTCCGCTGTTTTTTTCTTGCATGGTCGGCTCTTTTCTCTCTCGGGGCAACGCCCGTGACCAATGCTTAGAAGCCGCAGGTACCTCTCGGGCAACACTTAGAAACGTTTCTAAGTTTTTGACGGCTGGTAATATGCATCAGAATCGCCATAAAGGCGAAGAAAACGTTTCTAAGTGTTGGTCGGCCGAACCGTTTCTAAGTGTTGAATTTACTGTTTTTATTTTTTTCGTTTCTATTTGTTTGTCGGAAATTTTGGAAACCAAAACTGTTTCTAAGTGTATGTCCGTCACTATAAATGGTGTATGTTTGGCAGGAAAATAGAAAGCGGCCTTTGTCAGACACCCACACACAATGAATCAGATCGATTGGAAGCCCCGGGTACCAGTCAATGTTTGACAAGGCTTGCGGTCGGATATGTTCCTGCGCCAGCCGGGATGTGTTCACGGAATGTGTTTGCTGTCAGAAGTTGACAGCTAAGTCCTGACACACGTGGTGCTCCGTTCTGTTTCCAAGCTTCAGGGCGATCTTGAAGTCGCAGGACTGATCCCTTTTTTGATCTTAGCTCAATTGATCAACTACAGACACAGACAGAGACGCAGACACTGAAGCACAAACACCGCGGATTCAGTTTATGTTGCGCTCTCCGGAACCATCAGCAAAAAAGACAAGTGCTTCGGAAGGTCCTCCCGCTTGAATGCGGCGCGTAGAAGCAGGCCGCGCAAGTTGAGATGAATCACCTGCATGGGTCGTGAAAAGTTGGTGTCCTGGCATATGAAGAGAAACACACGTTAAAGGCTGTCTTCGCACTCAGCCGGTTGAAGCTTTTGTTGTTTGCCCTGGTTTCCTGGGACAAAGAATGTCGCATAGGGAACATTGAGGTCCCAACTGGTCAAGATGTATCGCATGATTTCAATGACACTTCCGTGCAGATCAATCAAAGGTGGTCATTATGTTAGGCCTAGATAGGTCAAAGAAGCATAATACATGTACGTCAGACGATAGCAAACATGGATATGCCCTGGGGGTCACAAGCTAAGCTGCCATGTCAAGGTATTGGTTTGAGAAAGTTAGGCTGATTGCACCTGTGCACAGCGTCATTCTGGAGGTCCCCCTATGTTGACACATCCCCATTTTGCCGGAGTGTGGACGCCTGAGTTTTTGCAGTGCCTCGCCAGTAACCGATTTGGGCACGGCAACCGCAGCATTCAGCTGATGTTCGCAGGCGCGGGCCCGAAAATCGGGGGGATGCGCGAGGTCGCAGGTCGCTTTGCCGGGGAAATGCAGTTGTGACCTTTTCAATGAGTCGCCGGCGCCTTCCTGCTTAGGCTGGTCTATACATGTTTGGTGGGAATGGCGAGTTTTTTGCCCACAAACCGAGCAACACGTGGTGCTTGACAGGTTTCCTGCGGAGTGCGAATTACTGGCTTCAGGAGTCCTTGCAAGATCCTGTCTCGTGCGCCTTGTGCAGAGTGAATCGAACTTGCAACCGGTTCCCACGGAGCTTTGGGGCTGGACGCGAAAGCCTTGGCGGTTGATGAGGTTTCCCACATAAGGGCTGATCAAAAGGCTCTTTACTTGGAATATCCATAAGGAAAACCACTAAAAACGCAGGGGATGAGCTGGAATGAACCCTATGAACTATCCAACTGAAAGGATCAACCTGTTTTGAGGTGAGGGCAACTGAGCGGAAGCGTCCGCCAGCGGGAGACCTTGGCTTTGTTTTAGATTTCTTGGCAAGTGAGAAGGTCTTTGCTTGGATGCTGACTTGGGCACGGATATGTTGGGTTTCCGGTTGTGGTGTACTTTTACGTTCTCCAAAAGTTCGCTTTCTATTTAGGACCTCTTTCAATGGCCTCGATCGCGGCTTCATTTCCCAAACCCTTGTGATTTGAGTGGGCTGTGGGCTGTGCTGGCCTCGAAGGTCTTGAACCAACCATGAGCATGCTCCATGGTTCAACGTTGACAGCTGCGCACATCTCGGCGGTGGACTAGGTCCGCCAGTAGTGCCCTTTTACCCCTTTTTTGGGGGAGGGTTCCCCTGCACCAATAGACTTACTGGAGGACCTAGGTGAAGTGCCCAGACGGACGCGCATGTCGCGGCGCCGCTTCGGTTTGGATGGTGGAAGGCCCCAAGTACCACCGGCACGCGCAGCTGCTTCGCAACTCGGCGAGGTGAGCTGTGACCCGTCACTCCCTTGAACTTCCCATGTCGTGCCAGTTTAAGCTCAGTATCCTTTTGGTGAGGTGATGTTTAAACGGGACATGTTTAAACAACAAAACAAAAAAGTTTAGTATTACATTGTTATGATCAATATTTGTTATGAGTATTATATCATGTATTAATATTCATTTTATTCAGTTGTTTATTCATTTATTACATATAGAAATATATAGGTATTGTTTGTTTATGTGTTTCTCTATGTATTTCTCTATTTGTTTCTCTATTGATGTGTTTATTCAATGTAAGGATCCCTGTTGTTGGTTTCCTCTGTTAACTTTCAGTATTAGGTTTGTTTGTTGAGGGGGGTTGCGCTTAAGGTCCTGCCAAAAGCGGTTCAGGCCACATATGCTGAGAGCATGCCCCGAGGCTGTGGGGACATTTTAATTGATAGTGCACCCATTTGCCATTGGGCATACACATATAAAAGCATATATACATGTAAATAAAGCATGTATGGGGAATCTGTCACTTTCACGCATTGTGCTTGTCCTTGCGCTGGACTATTGTTTGCGCAAATGTCAGGACACGCCGGCCGAGGGCAAGAAAAAACATAAAACCGCATTTTTTGCAGACCGACTTTGTGCTCCCCCGCCGGCTGTTTTCAAAAGCTTTTTTTTTGAAAAAGCCGCGCTGTGGGTGGGGGGAGGTCCGCCCGAGTCCTCAACCCCCCTCCCGCCTCCCGGAATTTCGGGAATTGCGCCGGGGTGGAAAGGGTCCCGGAATCCTGAAATACCCCCCGCCCTCCCGCGCGAATTTAAGGAATTGTGCTGGGGGGAAGTGGTCCGGAAATCCCTAAATACAACTCCCGTCCTCCAAAAATCAACGAATTCTGCCAGGGGGAGGGGTGGGGGAATCCTTAAATACACCCCCGGCCCCCGAATTTGATGAATTCTGCCGGGGGTGAAGGGTCCAGGAATCTTTTTCTACCCCCCCTCCCCCCGGAATTCTGTCGGGGGAAGGGTCCGGGAATGCAACCCCGCCCCCCCCAATTTAAGGAATTCTGCCGGGGAGGGGTCCGGGAATCCTTAAGTGCACTCCCCCCCCCCCCGAATTTAAGGAATTCTGCTGGGAGGGAAGGGTCCGGGAATCCTCAACCTCTTCTCCTGCTTCACAGGAAAGTGAGACCTACTGCCCTGCCACTCTGCAAGAATAGCCGTCTACGCTGACTCGACACCCCACGTAGCACTTGGCTCAAGACCTCGGCAAGCTTCCTTAAATACCCCCCCCCCCCCCCGAATTTAAGGAATTAATTCTGCCAGGGGTGAGGGGTCGGGAATCTTTAAAGACCCCGGAATTCTGTCGGGGAAGGGTCCGGGAATGCATCCCCGCCCCGAATTTAAGGAATTTTGCCGGGAGGGAAGGGTCCAGGAACCCTTAACCTCTTCTCCTGCTTCACGGGAAAGTGAACTTACTGCCCTGCTACTCTGCAAGAATAGCGGTCTACGCTGACTCGACACCCCACGTAGCACCTGGCTCAAGTTTCTTCAAGACCTAAAGCCGTTGCTACTTGCCGCCAGAGCCAGCTGCCTCTTGGCAGCTAAGAGAAAAATACCCTGTGAGTTTTTGCTAAAGTGTGCATGGTTGTGCTTAGTTTTTTTTCAAGAGGCGCTGTTCGCAGGGATCACTAATTTGACCCTGTGGACCCTGACGTGCTGAGGATGGACTTCTTCCGTGAGGCGAAGGCACGCTATGCTTGTTGCGCCTGCTGGGTGAGCTGAAGTGTGATGCGCAAACATGTCTGCAGCTACAAGTCTTTCTGCCAAACAAAACGATATCTTTTGCTGGATTGTCGATGATTCGCATTGCCCGTATTCTTTCGGACGCAACGCGTGAGATGACGACTGCTGGTGTGAGGAGCCACGCGAGCCTTTTACACTTGATCGTAATCTAGCAGGTGCTGCAGGGTTTCCAGAAGCCATATTAGTGCCTCACAGGCGGATAGGTATGTGGACTGGAAACACCGAGGCCACATGATTGGACCACAAACGAGCGCAGCGCCCTGCAGAGGAGGAGAAGAGGGAGGAGAAGGGGTAGAAGCAGGACAACCAAAAACAGAAGTTTCTTCACCATCTGGACGATTAGGGGAGGCGGGTGGCCAATGGTTGAGCGTTGGAGGAGCATTTTGGGAAAGCGTGTGTTGTGAACAAGTAGGTTTTTTGTCGAGGTATTGATCGCTTCAGTCTTGCAATCTAACCTGTTTTGCGTTGCTGACGCATAATGGGCCCGCAGCGCTCAACTGGGTCTTGCTCCCTGCCCCCCCCCCCCCCCCCCGAAATGAGGGATTTCTGCCGCGGGGGAAGGGTCCGGGAATCCTTAAATAATGTAAGGAGTTCTGCCGGCCCTTGAACTTGAACTTCACGCAAACCCACCCCTCCTTCCCCTGACTCCCATGCCACCCGAAATTCAGCGAGGGTGTGCGGAAATCCTTAAGTGCAATCTCCCAGCAAGTTTCCTTAAATACGTACTTAAGTGCTGGGGGGGAGGTGTGCTGAAGGTTTTCCAAGCCCCCCTGCTGAACTTGGGGGTGGCACGGGGCTCGGGGGACGGAGGAGGTTGTACTTAAGGATTACTGGAATTCGTGGGGGGGGGGGGGGGGGCAGCACCCCGGCAGCCGTTTAGATTCACATTCATTTCTGGCTTTGGAAGTCGTAGGCCATGCAGTCGTAAAGCCATGAGCTGCCCACGTGGCCACAATCCATCAACCCCCGGCCTGCCATGAAAAAACAAAGGCCTTGCCCGCGCAAATCCTGTAGCACTCGTGGGCGGTACTCCGGAATGGTCGCCCGCTTTGAAGTCGAGAGCCGCGTGGCCCCCTGAAAATGAGGGCCAGCAGCTTCTCAGATTCCTTCGGCTCCGCGCCGGGCTTGGCTTCGAGGACAAGCCCATCGGCATCCGCGACATCCAGTACGGCATCCTCTCCTGGTGCCGCCAGCTGGAGTTCTACTCCGGCCTGGTGGTTGCTGCTGACACCTGTGCTGACAAGGCCGGGGCTGAAGCTACGTCTACTGGGCCCGCCCAAGGTCAAGATGCTTCTCACCTCTGTATGAAGTGGGTCTTGCAGAGCACTCCAAGCACAACTGAGGAGCAGAGCACGAAGGATGTCAGGAAAAAGGTCAAGGGTCGTCTGCAGGCCTTGTGTGATCGTGGAGCCAAGGGAGACCGCAAGAAGAAGGTCAACGGTCCCGCCAACACCTTGCTACAAGCTATTCGAGACCTTGCCTCGCATTCCATACCCCTATGCTTTACGACCTGTGCTTGAAGATGCTAATGTCAGAGAACTTTGCACGAAAGTTAGGCATACCCAATTCGCCAAATTCATTGAACTCCCTGAGAGGGGTGGTTCATCCTGCTCCTTCATCCGACAGGACACAGCATGAGCATTGCGTGATGACATATACACATACAAACCAGCGACAGTGCACGTCATCCTTAGACATGACACAACAGGACGCTACCTGACAGTTGGCGTTCTGCGGGCATGGCGTCCTCATCGTCTGGCCAGTCTGGAGCATGGCTGCAAGACCATTTTGCCAGTGCCTCTACAAGCTCCCTCGGATCAGACATGTCTGAGGAAGCCGTGGCCAACGAGAGGCCACGAAGGGACAATATCTACATTGAAAGGCAGCGTTCAAGCGCGCTTGGATGCGGAGCACAAGCGCCGCTTGGCTTCTATCAAGACTCATGGTTCCCCGTTTCTTCATCGCCGCTTGGAAGCCGAGCGAGCTGCAGATGAGCGTGATGCCACATTTCAGTATCTCCACGAAGAGGGCGAGAAAACCTCACTGACGATGTTGGCGTGGAACGCGGGAAAGCTGCAGCGACCAGGACAGAAGACATATTCCAATTTACGTTCTAATACCTATGTCGCTGATTTCGTCTTGAGGGATCATTCTCACATCAAGTTACTGCAGGAAGCCAGTGGCCTTGACCAAATTGCTGGAAGCCGTTGCCACCTGATCTCGGAAGCTACAGGCTGCGCCATCCTGGCACATGGCGTGGGATGCTCCATCAAGCTGCGAAAGCATAAAGCATTTTCCACGAGACGCTGCCTGAATCGGCCCGTTGTTTCCAACTATGCGTTCCAGTGTCTACTCTGCGCATGCCTCTACGCATTTCACTGTCCACTTCCCCTGCGCATGCATCTATGCACTTCACTCTGTACTTGCCCTGCGCATGCCTCTATGCATTTCACTGTCTACTTCTCCTGCGCGTGCCTCTACGCATTTCACTGTCTACTTTCCCTGCGCATGCATCTATGCACTTGACTCTGTACTTGCCCTACGCATGCCTCGATGCATTTCACTGTCTACTCTGTGCGTTCCTCTATGCATTTCACTGTCTACTTTCCCTGCGCATGCCTCTATCATTTCACTGTCAACTTTCCCTGCGCACGCTTCTACGCAGTTCAATGTCTACTTTACCTGCGCGCGCATATTTGCACTTCACTCTGTGCATGCCTCTATGCATTTCATTGTCTACTTTCCCTGCGCATGCATCTACGCACTTCCTCTACGCATTTCACTCTGCACTTGCCGTACGCATGCCTCTATGCATTTTGCTGCGCGCTTTCTCTATGCATGCCTCTCTCTGCATTTCACTGTCTACTTTCCGACTGTGTGCGGGAACGTACTTCGCGTACTTCGCATACTACTTTTGTACTTAAGTTGCGACTTTGCAGCCGGAGCTGCAGGGATGTACTTCGCGCACAACTTTTGTACCTAAAAGTTGCGACTTTGCAGCCTGATCCCTGCACGACGGTCGCGCGCAGACCGCGAAGATTCACACGGGACCACAACGAGAGCGATCTGACACGCACAACCCCCACAGAGGGACCATGTTGAGAGCGATCCGACACGCACGATCCACGCAGAGGGCCGACCACGCCGATCCCCACAGAGGGTCGCGCGGGCAAGGTGCGAAGTGTAAAAAGCCGGCAGTTTTTGCACATCGACCACACCATTCCCCGCAGAGGGTCGCGCGCGCACCGCAAGAAAACGCCAAAACGACCCTAGTTTTTGCACATCGACCACGCCGATCCCCGCAGAGGGTCGCGCGGGCAAAAGTTGCAAGTTTTAAAAAACTCCAGTTTTTGCACATCGACCACGCGATCCCCGCAGAGGATCGCGCACGCAAGAATCGGAAAACAAAAACTCGAGCTTTTGCACATCGAAGGCCGCGCGCGTCCCGCAAGAATCGCAAAAAACAACTGCTAGTTTTTGCACTTCGACCACGCCGATCCCCACAGAGGGTCGCGCGCACGGCAAGAATCGTTTTAAAAAAAAAAAAGTTTTGCACATCGACCACGCCAATCCCTGAGAGGGTCTCATTTTCGCAGAGCGCGCTTGGTCGCAACGCGCTGCCTTAAGCTAATGTGAAGAAAGTGCAAGTTATGCTCGTGCGAGAAGGAATTTCCCTATGCATGCCTCTATGCATTTCACTGTCTACTTTCCCTGTGCATGCCTCTACGCATTTCACTGTTTACTTTCCCTGTGCATGCCTCTATGCATTTCACTGTCTGCTCGCGCGCGAAGGAATACAAGATCGCTACACGTTTCACTTTGTACTTTCCCTATGCATGCCTCTATGCATTTCACTCTCTACTTTCCCTGTGCATGCCTCTTTGCATTTCACTCTCTACTTTCCCTGAGCATGCCTCTATGCATTTCACTGTCTACTCGCACTATGACATGCCTTTGTCACTGTCTACTTTCCCTTCAGCTGTGCAGAACATTTCACTGCGCACTTTCCCTATGCATTTTCACTGTTTACTTTCCTTAGGCAGTCGAATTGTGCAGAACGCAACGACTCTACCGGAAGAACCCTTCGCAATGCTTTCGGGAAACAACAAGTTTTTGTATACAACCAGCGGGGGAGGGGGGGTCCGGAACACAAAGTCAAAACGTGTTGTTTCAGGGTGTTCTTGCGCTCAGCCGGCGTGTCCTGACATTTGCACAAACAATAGTCCTGCGCAAGGGTAACAAGCAATGCGTGCAAACTGTTGGTGAGACAACTCCATCAACAGATTCCACGGTCGGTGCACAATGTGCCCCTTTGGAGGTGAGCCATCCTGCCTCATTTGAGGCACTTGTGGACAAATCGGGTTTATTTCGCCATCTTAAGCGGGTCAGCGTACTTGCGCGGGGGCCCGGCCTTAGGTACAACCCCCCCCCTTAAATACAACCCTGACAAGTTAATACTGAAAGTCAACAGTTTCCCCCTCAAGTTAATACTGAAAATTTCAAATTTCCCCCCCCCCCTGAAAATCCATCACTCGCAACTTAGGCCAGGCCTTGCTGACGCGGCGCCTGCGCGTAGTCTCCGAGGCCCAGCTGCGGTCGCTGGTGGGGTGCAAGGTGCTGGAGGTCTTCGCCGTGGGAAAGGCCCGGCCCGGAATCGTGACCCTCGGAACCCATTTCTCCATGTGGCCGAGGGTCAAAACCAATGGGATCCCATTTGAGTCACAATCACTTGACTGCTATTGGCTTGGATCTTTAGACTTTAACTTTTTGGTTGAAATGGTGTTTTCCACTAAACCCCAAAAAAGCCGAACTTTTTGCAGGGGGGTCAACAGCAACCAAGATCAAAACCCGGTACTGAAATGGTCGATCCCCGGAACCATGCTTCAAGATTTAAGAAGGCGGCCGCAACTATTTCTGGCTGGGACTGCCCCTTGCTAACCTTCATCTACCCAGGTTTTGATTGTGGCTCATTTGGGTTGGTAGGTGCACCACTTATTTTAGAACCTATTTTAGGGATTGGGATGTTCACTGGGGGTACGGGCTTTTGACCCATGGCCATGTTTTGTAAACGGTGTTCATGCTTTCTGGTTGAAACAGGTTGGATTTTCGGTTGGACCAAGAGAACCCCCCTGATCTTTGGACCAGAACTTTATTTGTTTGGTTGAACCAGTCCGGATTTTGTCCCATAAAAAGTGAACAACTGTTTGCAGAGGGGGTCAGCAGCCAAGAGAAGCCAAACCTGGTGCCTTTCAGCTGGAATTCAGCTCGTGGTTCTGGGGTGCAGGCTCAGTGTCGGGGGATACCACCTGGGCGTTGTGTTGAGCTTTCCCTTGAAGTCCACCCGAAACGAGGCGTGAACGGGTAGCGGGCATCGGCACAAAGACTTTGGCGAGTGGCACAACTATTATATGCGTGTGTCTGAGAAGGGTTGACCACCTTGTTCCTTGGTATTTAAAGGGAAACCAACGAACTGCTGCCATTTAAGGGGACCCCTATTTTGAGCAACCCCCCTCATATCAGATCCCCCCAAAAAATAACTTGCCATGCAAAGGCAGCCACTGACGTTTTTCTTTTGTTTGTGCTCAGTAGGGAATGACCTTCCGGGCGTTGGGAATGAACCGATTCTTAAAGGAAACCATAGAACATGGTTTTGGTCGGGGTCCTTGCTTCGTCTCATTCCCTGCCTATCGAACCGATCACAAGCGGTGCGTGGGGTATGTCCCTTGTCAGATCCATCAGGAGCTCTTCATCCTTTTCGGCATTCGATGGGATGAGAGCCGACGAGGCAGCGGAGCGCCTTGGCCTTGTTATAGCTGCTCAGTTCAGTGTCGCACTGTGAGCCTCATCCCTTTTGGGTTTGATGAAGGAAGACAGAGATAGAATCATTGGAATCCCAACAAGAAATACCTACCCTTTTTCTGTCTACACGACTCGGGCCGCCAGAGATGGCCATACGGTCATTAACGACTTTTTGTCAACAGTGTTTTGAAGAACTACGGCCAAACAAGGCCACCGGCCAGGAAACTGGCCATGCGGTTTTCCAGGGCCAAATTCCATGCCCTCGGCGCGGCTCGGCAGAAGAATCGAGCGATCAATCAGCGAGGTGCGGCTGCACTTCGGACACGGGGGCGGGTACCTGGTAGAGCGGGGAGCAGAGCGCTGGGGCCCAAAGGCTGCGGGCGGAGGCGGGGGAGGGCGGGGGGGTGGGTTTGGGCTGGTGTTTTGCTGGTTCGATGGGTGAATCAACACCCCAAGTGTTGGGAAGCAAATGGATCCCCTGAAAGGAAACCAAATATGGTTTTTTGTTGGGGTCAGTGCCTCATTCCCTAGAACCAGCAAGTGAAAGTATTCGGGGGTGGGGGGGGGGGGGAAGTTTAAGTGGCAGGCTTGCTTGTCATGCAGTGCATCCACATCGGGTTTCTTCTAAATCGATGAGAACTCAGTTTTGCGTTTCAGATAATCATTGGGCGCAAGTGTGCGATGCAATACACGTCGACGTGCTCTTGGCCAACAAAATTAAGCAGTCTTGTGTTGCAAGTCAACTTCGTTGGGTTTGTAAATTGTTCGTTGTGGGTTGCAGTGCAATTGTTGCGGTCAAGATGTGTAGAGAGTTGACCAAAGAAGTGGGATGGTCACACCATGGAGGCCATTGCAGAGACGGACCTGCGGCCCTCACCATGGAGTTCAGCGCTGATGGCGATGCTGATGATCCGCTCAGGCGGGGCCGCGGGCTGGCGAGTTCGCAATTCGGAAGAGTGGGCTCATGCCCTCAGTGAGTCTAATGGTTTCTTCTATGCGAAGTTGTTTAACTAGTGCTTGTGCATATGAAAGATAGCTATGTTTGTGTTGTGAAGAGCGTCCTTCAGCGTGCGCTTTCCGACTCGGCGCAGTGGAGAGCGCACCATTGTGAAATGATCACCCATGCTGGAGCATGAAGAGGTCCCCGGTGAAGAGTAAAGGGGTCAAAACTCAACCACCAGGGGACGGCAGGTGTTAGTCCTCATTTCCATTTACCAGGGCAAGCCAGATTTTGGACGCCTAAAATTTCTGGCCCACAACTATTTGTGTATTCTATGCATGGTTGTTGTTGGGAAACATTTTACATTTCTGCTTATTGTGGTTTAGTGGTTGAAATCCAACCACTAAACTGCTAAAGCTTAATTTTTTGCTCCCCTTCCAAGGTCAACCAAGTATAGACAGCTCGGCCCTTCAACCGTTGTAGTCCTATTTCGCTCGGCTCGTCGTCTGGAGGTTTTTGCTGTGGAACGACCTGGGGAGTTTCTACGGCCACGTCTCCGTGGAGTACCTCCGCGCTGTGGAGGCCCGTTCCATTTTCGACATCAACGCGCCAAAGGAGGCGGGGAGGTGGATGTGGTTCCTTTGGGAGGGGAGTGGAAGTGAGAGAAGGGTGAGAAGGGGGCGTGGAAAATGTTGTGGCGGTTTCTGTGCCATTTGTAGAATGGTTGGTTTTGGGTAGAGGGTGTCTTTTTTTGATACCCCTTGCACTTTGAAGGGGTTGGTTTAAAAGGGAAACCAGAGGGAAACCAAGCATGTTGTTGGGGTTCCCTATTTTGAGACCCCAATATGGTGGCAAAGAGGAAAACCAATAGTTCTGAGAGTCGCAATACAGGTCACAAGGGACCCAGCTGTTGTAAGGGGACAAATGTGGGCTTGTGTAGGTGGCTGGCTGGCTGGCTGGCTGGCTGGCTGGCTGGCTGGCTGGGTAGGTGGGTGGCTGGCTGCCTGGCTGGCTGGGTGGCTGGCTGGCTGGCTGGCTGGGTGGGTGGGTGGATGGTTGGTTGGTTGGTTAGCCTACACCCCCCGTATCGCTGGCCAGTTGAGAGTTGCTCCGGGCTGGTTTAGGGAGTTTTGGGCTTGCTCAATTCTCAATTAGGGCCCTCAGGTCTTGGGTTTGTTTCGGGTTCATTTGGCTCGACAAAGGGCTGATAAGTAAGCTGCTGTTGGGTGGGTGTGGGGTTGACTTTGGGTCGGTTTGGGTTGGCTTGAAGCTAGCGTGGCTTTCGGGCTAGTTTTGGATATCAGCCCTTTGCCGAGCCTCAATGAACCCGACAGAAGCCCAAGGCCCGTGAAGATCTCAGGCAGCCTCAAGCTTCCCTGAGCAACTGAACCGACCAAATCAAAGCCATTGAGAGGCCCTAGTAAGGCTGGTGCTGGGGATGCGGCCAAACCCCAGATTTAGTTTAGATGCACATGGGGGGCGGGGGCGCCTTGGGTTCAACCAGGGCTAGTTAAAACAAAAACGGGGCCAGTTAAAACAACACCTCAACCCCCTTCTCACTTTGGTTTAAAGGGGAACCGAACTTACCCCTCCCCCCTCCCCTTTTTGGTTTTTGGCACATGGGGATTCATCAATAGTCCTGGCGGCCAAAGACTTGAGGACGTTGTCTTTGTGGTTTTAGGCCATGGTCCATGGACAGGACCTGCACTGGAGACCTGGCATCGGCCAGAAAGAGTGACCTCAATCCCCTTGACCCCGTCAATCACCAGCCCTGCCCACAGGCCACCAGCACGACACATGGCCGGTCTTTTGGTGTGACCTGACCCCCTTCGACCTGTTGCACACTTATGCCACTTGGCTTTTCCGCGAAACCCACCAACGCTTAGACCGCTCCTTTTTCGGGGTTGTTTAAAAGGGGGGAGCCAAAGGAAAGCCAACACAAATGCAGGGGGAAATCTCCCCCCATTTTGACACAAAGAAAAAGCAACTTAAAAAATACCGAAAAATGTGGGGTTCCCCATTTTGACCAAAAAAAAACCCTTAAAAAAATATCAAAGAAAAATGTGGGGTTACCGTTAACCCCTCCGACTTTGAGCCAAGCAGACAGATCTCAACGCCCGGAAAAAGCCTCCGTGCACGAGGCCTTCGCCTTGGCCACTGCGAGGGGCCTCTTCCTGCAGTCGGAGGAGCTGGTGGTGGACCTGCTGATGGACCAGTCCCGGTTGCCAGGAGACGCTGATGGACAAAAGGAGAAGTCAGGGGTATCCACCTGGGCCACATGGGTGCGAGTCAAAGAAAAAATGATCGGGGGACCACAGGAATTAATCCTTGGTTCCATTTACCAGGGTTCCAATTTGGGTGCCTAGTTTTGACCCCCCACACCCAAAATACCTCCAACAAATGTGAGTTATTGTTTTTGTTTTGTTGTTGTAAGGGGTGGGCCAAGTATGAAGCAACATCTCAAAATGTGTTTACCCCATAGTTAGGCCAAGCTCTCCCGGGCTTGCGGATTGATTTGGATCTCTGACTCATTTGGATCTCTGACCATGAAGTAGCCAAACCTTTGTTTGGTCAGGGTCGACAGCGGCGGCGACGCGCGCAGCATTCTTTTGGGCCATGAGGCCTTTTTCGCCTGGCTGTCTGCCAATGTTATAGCGAGCTCACCTGGAGGTGTAATGAGCTCACCATGATAAAGGTCCTTTGCTGGGGATCCAAACAATGCAGCTTCTGGAAGTATAGTAAACAATGCAGCTGATTTGGAATGGGCTGCAAACTAAGCAGATGTTTGGACCGAGACAGTTTGTGGTTGGCCCGCCATGCCTATCCGGCTGTCAGGAGTGGGGAACATCATCAAATGCGAAGGACTGTTTGCAGCTCGCATCTTTCCTCTCCGCAGATCCTGCGAGTTGAGCGCAGATGAATGGACTAACCTGCTGGAAGAGCTTCACAGATTTTCCGACTTGTGGTATCAGCACTGCCAGAAAAGCCGCCCGGTTATATAGACGTGGTGCCAGTTGTATTTGTTTGGTTTGTTTCGTTGGTCTGGCACTAGGGGAAACTGGATTTTTTGTTCAGGGTGCCGAAACTCTTTTCGGTGTCTTCTCTTTTTGTTCAGGCGGCGGGGCATGTGTTTTTTTTTGGAGTGTGTGTTTTTCTTTTTCTCGGGCTACTTGTTTTTTTCCGGAGGTGGGCATTGTTGTTTTCTCGTGGAGCACAACCGATCGCTCCGCGAAGGTCAGGATGGCCAGCACATGGGCTGCTGCCATTTGATGCGCATCTACGGGCACTGGACCTGCTCTTCGTGCCAGGGGCCGATCAGTTTGATCAAGGAGACCAACCGGAGGTTTCGTAAGGTGGGCGAAGAGGAGCAATAGTATTTTTTTCTCAGAAAGGGCGGGTTTGGGTGGGCAAGGTCTTTGGGTGGGCAAGATTTCCTCCATGTCCCTTTGTAGATCCTTTGCTTCCTCTGGGCAGGGTTTCCTCCTTTTCCCTTTGGGGAACCTCCAAAAGTGGCTCATTGAATGGACACCACCAGTAACGCGATAAACGTTTGAAGGGGAAATCCAGTGGTGGGGAACCTGCTACTGGGAAATCAAGTGGCACACAACTCAACTGGGTTTGGGTGGAGATTTCGATGAAGGGGTTGCCATCTTAGAGGAAATCCGGATCACTTGGCATCCCGCCTGTCGTGCCAGATGAATCCAGGGTCTAGGGTCCACATTCCGCTTATTGTTCACATGTTATTGTTTTGGTTTCACTTTGTTCAGGGTAAGTGGGAAACCGGAAACCTACCAACAGATGATGAGTTCTTTGTGCTGTAACTGTTTGCAGGGAGTCCATTCCACTCGAAAAGCCGAACGTAGGCCACTAGGCTCTTCTACTGGGGGATAATAAGAAATTCAGAGTCTGGGTATTTCAGACAGCGGGTAATGTCGGCGCATGATGAATATATGCGGCTTTCAAAAACCTCGACCTTGCGGGAGGGGTTATTTATCATGTTCCCCCATTAGTTTATGTCCACCAAAGGGCCCCGAATTAGCATTCGTCATTTGTACCTGGGGAATCCGCCGCCTATCCCCTCCACCTTGGCGTGTTGAGCTGTGTTTGCAATGTCCGAACGCGTTTCACGTTCGTGAAAAAACAAACTTTAGCGGGCCCTCTTTGGTTGCTAAAAAGGGAAGCCAAAGGAAAGTCCATCAACTTGGAGGTTTCTTGAGAACCCAGGAGCAATTGACTTGTAGACTGAGGGGGCAGGGTGAGCCACTCGCGTTCCTCGCAAAAGGTGCCAACTACTTTTCGCGAGGGGAACGAGGTTTTTCCACTCCCTCTGTGGCGCGGAGCTTTTGTCTTTGCCCCATGGCAACCAGGGGAAGAACAACCGGAACGGGGTACGTCCGTTTCACCCTTTGTGGAAACCCCTTGGACGGCTTCGAGACCAGTGGGTTAACTTCAGGCCTTGCCGGGGGCAAATGAGCTGAACGAACCCACATTTGTTCTGCCATTCTTGGGCCGACCTTTGGTACTCTTGGGAAAACCTTCTGTACTTTTTTGGATATTTGGGGGATTGTCCTCTTCCGCCAAAAAAGAAAACTCTTCTGTAACTTGGGGGGGTGGGGGGGGGCGTCCTCTTCGCAAAAAAATAACCCCAAAAAAAACACACACACACACACAGACGCATTTGGATGCTTTCCGTCCGCAGGAGGGCCGGCGCCAGCGCATCACCTACTTCTGCCCCCGCTGCCAGCCAGGGTCGGAACCCGCGAGAAGACCGCACAGTCACAGGCAGGAGCTGCCCGTGGAGCTTCCCCCATGTGCCCTGGCAGCTGAAATTAGAACACTTGATTGTTTCAGAGTGGCTTTGTCTATCTGGCTGTGGGTCAAAGCCAATGGTACCATTTTGGGGTAGGTGCACCACCCATTTTAGGACCTATTTCAGTGGGGATTGGGATGTTCACTGGGGGTGCGATTTGGATGTTGGCCATTTGTCTTCAACATTTGTCGGGCATCATCTTTGTTTGGAACCACCTCGGCGGGGTCGGTTCGGATTCTCAAGGGCGTTGGTTTAAAGGGAATCTATATCACTATTGGACATATGTGTTTTTCCCAGTGGACTTAAGCAAATGGAAGTGCAGGATCATGTTAGACAACACCTTGGTTTGATTTGTGTTGCTTGCGTGCCTTCAGATCCGAGGCAAGTGCGGCTTTTTGCCAGCTCTGCTGCAAGTGCGTTCGGGCGTGCACTTCGCAATGTCCGACGACCGGAGGCCGGGGGGGTATATGTTTGCCTCGTGGTGAGCTTATGCGGGGGCAAGACCGAGCTCACCATGATGTTGGCGCTTTACTTGGCTAGGTTGTAGTGCCCTTTTACCTTTTTTTGGGGAGGGCTCCCCTACTAAAATAGACTAGTTACAGGAAAAAAGGGTACCCTTATTCTAACCTCTCTACTGGAGGACCTAGTTGCATGGGGATGCCTTGTTTCAGGACCCCCACATACGGTGGGTGTCCCTCTTCAGCCTCCCTTCCAAACCATGCAGAAGTTGAGTTTTCCAGAAAAGAGTGTGGAAATACCCAACAAACTCCCCGGCATCAAATTCTGTGTATGGAGCTATTCCTACATTTATTGCAACCCCAAAATCGTGGTTTTCCAATTTGGTTTCTCTTTAAACCAACCAAAGGTGCCCTCACAAGATTGAACAAACCCACATTGGTACACCCAGTGGATCCATTACCCAAAGAAAATCAGCCTATAAAAACTAAAAGGAGAGTAGCTGGCTGCTTCTAAGGCCTACAAACACTGGAATCCACATCGGAAATGACCTCACGTCTCTTCTTTCTTTTGGTCAGCCCCACCTTGCTGAAGGGCAGATTCTCTCCGCTGAAACCACCTGGGCCTGGCGCAGACGCGGAAGCATAGGTGTCCTTTTTCGTTGATTTGGTGTAAACATAGAAGTCTAAAGGGATATATTTTCCAGCTCAGATTCCCCAATGATTTCCCGGCCAGCTACTCTCAGCTGCAAAAAGTCTGGCAGACTACCAGACTCTCCGCCCTCCGCCCTGAACCCTAAACCCTAAAATGACCAGACACCATGCGCAGAGGCGGAAGAAAACGCGTGCGGAAAAAAGCGCGCGGAAGCGTGCGCGGAAAAGCGCGCGCCAGGCCCTACTTGTCGTGTTCCCAGCGCCGGGGCTCGAAGTACGACGACGGCGGCTGTGGCCTGCCGGGGCCCTGGGCGCCTTGGCTCCAGCTCGGAACGGTCGGAGCTCGGGGGGAAAACCCGCGGAAAAATCCAAAAACGGGGGGGGGGGGGGAAGGCTTTCTCGTTGGCTTCGGTTGGAAACCCAGAGAAAAGCTCTTTTTTTTCCCCATATCTCTCCCGACATATGGAACCAGTTTTTGTTGATGCCCCCTTCTCCCCCTCGAAGCGCCGGATCCACGAGGATGGCTGCGGCTTCCACAGCTGGCTTGATGAGATCTCTCCGCTGCCGAACTGCGACTGCCAAGCGCCGTCTCTGCTGCGGCGGGTGGTGGGGATGAAGGAGAACGGCCGAGCCTCGACCGACTCCTGACGGTTTTGGCTCTTTTCCGCTCTTGGCATGTGGTTCTTTGGCTGTTTTGGTGGTTCACTTGGGGGAATGCAAACAAAGAGGTGTTGTTTGCGAACATACCAGGAGTGGAGCAGATTTGTGTTGTTTGTAGTTTCATTCTGTGGGATGGATGCTTTGCGAATTCCAAGTTAAACAACATCCAAAAAGGGATCCGAACATGGAGGAACTCGGTTTCTCAAACTAGAATGGCCCTTGTACCAGTCACTATTGAGTTCTTTTCAACACAGGGTCGGCGAACAGTTCCAATAGTCTGTCTCATGGTGTTTATAGCAAGGCCAATAGAATCCTCAGCCATGTGGCTGTGGCTGAACATTTTCAACAGGAGGCAACCCGCAGGTTTTGGTCCATGTTTCCACTTACCAGGGCAACCCATTTTGGTACCGGTTTTTGAGCCACAGCCATGTTGGTAGAGGCCACAGTCAGCCGGGTTTTGGACGCTGCTCAAGTGTGTAGTGACCTGATGCGATAAAAAGCATCCTTGCCCCCAAAGCAGAGATGGGCGGAACGCTCTTCTTGGAGCACATGTTACCAAACTGCTCCACTGACTGTGGGTCTCTTGGGCAGGGGTTCCCCTACATGGCTGTGGGTCAAACATGGGTACCCAAAATGGAACCCTGGTAAATGGAACTCATGACTAAAACCTGCGGTCCACCGGTGATTTAAGTTTGACCCACACCTACATCTCCATTTAAGGCGATGTTGAAGGTCATAAGGGTGATGTCTTGATTGGGTGCAGAGTGTAGAGCAGAACTGTCATCTCCGATCGCCAGTCAATACTCTCGGAAGAGTATGGCTCCTATCCACTCGCAGATTGGCATGGAGCCCCAAGAAGGGTTCCCTAAAACCTGCCTTGTTTCCAGTTCAGCAGGGGGATTGCAGCAGTATATTCATAGGTGTCCTTTTCGGTTGGACAAAATAGAGGGTGATTCCTGGTTTACCTGCTTGTTCAATCATCTACCAGGGGACCAGGGCGATCTATTTTCCAAAAAGGACGCGTGGGATTTTTGAGTGCCCATTTTATAGCGAGATCCCCTGGAGGTACGCTTCCGAATCCCTTAACTCAGGTGTTGGAAAGATAGCACCCTCCCTCCAATCAACCTAAAACCTGACAAGGTGTCACTTTCAAAGGAAAATGGTCTTCGAGGACCCCCCTTTTACGTCAGGTTCCTTTGGTGGGAGGGTCATGTTTGCTGCCTTGCACTTCAGGCTACTTCCTCCGCTGCCGCCAGCGGCGCTGCCGCTTCCGCTGCTGGCTGAAGCTTGCGCTTCCCGAACACGACGTGCGCCGCTCCGGGCGCTGGCGGCGGCCGGCGGAGGAAGCGGCACGGCGTCGCCTTTTCTCCGGGCGGTTTGGAATCGCTGGGGTTTGGCTCACAGCCGGGAAACGCTTCCACGAGATGCTTGGTTTCACTTGAAGCCAATCCAACATGGGCATTCCGGGTCCCCCCCCCCCGCCCCCAACAAGAAAAGAACGAGAACCGTTGTTTTTTTGCTTTTTTTTGTTTTCTTCTTTTCGGCCAGATGGTATTGTTTCCCTTGTAGTGGTGCCAGGATAATTGGCAGAATTGGAGTAGGGATCCCAAGGCGGGTGCAACTGAGCTGGGTGCCATTTAGCTCTCAAGAGGCGGTAAGGTCAAGCTCAGACAATGTGCCCTTCTTGTACCTTAAATAAGATCATGTTGGAGGAGTTCAGATTCTGTTTCATATGTAGGCTACCCTTCGAACAAATATACAGTGGCGTGAAAGTAGATAGCGGCATTCCCCCATGTGGTGTTAGTTCTAATCGTCCCCTCCGCAGAAAACCTCAGGCCAGGTATCCCCAACTGAAAGTGAGGTTTTGTGAAGGTGGGGTCAAGGCGGGGGGACCCCAACCGAAAAGCCCAGAAACCCCAACCAGGAAAACCCCGGGAAGAACCCTGAACAGCAAACCCTAAGGAGCCATCATCTTTTTCTCTCAACTACCCAGCCATAAGGGCTGGAGAATTATGGGGAACCGTAGCAAACCCTCAGGAGCCCGAAAAAGTTGGCTCTAGAACGCACCCTCGGCGATTCCAAGCGAAACCCTTCTGAGTCCTGGCAGGACGCAGAGAGCTCAAGCCCGCAGACCTCGTCCAGCGAGCGGCTCGCACTTGAGAGGATCCCTGAAGCCGAAGCCAGCCCAAGAATCAGCCCGAAGTTAAGCCCACGAGCCCCAACCCTGAACGCACCCTAAGCCCACCTGAAGCCCACCCCAACCCCAACCCCAACCGAAAACCCTGAGCGCGCCCTAAACCCACCTTGAACACTCTGAGATGGACCAGAACAACTCCAACAAACGTCGGACAAATCCAGAACAACTGGGCGGCCTTTTATGCGCAAGATTTCCATCACGGGTGAGTTGCATGTTTCCACGGGTTTGCCTATTCTATGGAGCTGCCTATGATGTACGTTGTTTACTTCCGAATCCAAGTCTTATTTCAGGTGCTGGAACTGCTGTAAAATTGGAAGACGTTTGTCATGGCCAAAACACCCTTCTCCTTGGGTTTGGTAGGACGAATGCAGATGTTTCCATGGCTCGGCCGCGCGAGGAAGGATGTCCTTCCAGACGTTTCGGGCTGGGACTCGGACCGGCCACGTGAGCCACCGATGGCGGGCTACAAGACCAAGCGCTGGGGCAAGAGATGAGGCCGCCTGTTTTGAGTGGTACCCCTTTATACGTTTTGGCCAACGCCGCGGGTATGTGGCTGCCACGTCTGATTTCGGGTTGCTATTCATGTGTTGAGCGCAGTAGGTTGGGAACAACCTGAGGATGCTTGCTTTAGAAGTATTCCTTTGCCCCCACGCAAAACCAAGGCAATAGCGGCAGTGCCTCAATTCCTTCATTTCCCCAAGAGGAAGTCAAAAGGGAACGGGTAGCGGTTCAATGTGTCCAAAGCCCATTGAACATTCAACATCTAGCCAGGCAGTCCCTCAATTCAGAAAGCTGCTGACGCCCCTTCGACTTGCTGGTCGGCTTGGATGCGGAGGTGAATCACTGCCCTTCGTTTATGCGAGGCAGGCGGCTGGGGTTTGGTTTGGTTTGGTTTGTTAGCCCACGACTCCTTTTTCGGTTGGCTTGTTTGCGTGTGAGCTTGTGTCAAAATATGGGATCCGAGCGGTTTCCCTGTTCTTGTCTTTCGCTTAAACCATTGCGAAACGGGTATATACCTAGACCCTCCAGGTGTGCATTTTGTCTGTCGCTTGCTGAAAAAGCAATATGTTGTGTCGTTTGCTCCAGAAAGAACCTTTTTCTTTTAAAAGTGCTGCTTCAAAATCTTGCCAGAACGTGGTCGGCAAATGTCGCTTTTTGGTCGGGGAATGTCGCCTTTGGGTCGGGCAATGTCGCCTTTTGGTCTTCATCCTGGTTTCGCAAAACTGCAAAATCTGCAAAAATGCACGGAGGCAAAAAAATGTGTTTGTGCACCAAAAGGAGCCTTTGGCCCAAACAGCACAAAAACTGCACACTTAGGAGGGCCCGGGTGTACTATATCCTCAACAAGATCCTTCAAAAGGGTTGGACCCTTCAAGGATCTGTGCGGGACCCACATGACGCCACTCATGTTCAGAAGTGGAAGCCTGATTTGCAGAAGATTGCAAATGTTGCTTCTGATTACCAGGGTTATCTTCAGATGGCAACACCGCTCCAAGTCTCTAGAAAACGGTTTGGATGCGCCTTTTGTGGATTTCACCTGTTCTTCCCCCTTTAGGTTCTTTTTTAGTACTCTTTTAGTACTCTTTTAGTTGCCTACAGGGGTGGATCCACAAAAACCGCATCCAAGCGGTTTCCTAGAAAGTCTGCTGCGAAAAAAGATGGAGCTATCGCAACAGGCAAAGCCTATCGATTGGGATGTGGGTGTGTCCGAACACAAGGGACGCAGTGAACAAATTAATGTATTTCCTTTGGTTGTTTCTTTCGGTTTGGCATCGCACATCCACCAATGCCCCTTTTGTCAGGACAAGCCGGAAACCTGACGAGGAGCCGTGATGACGCGAGGTCTGCAAGGGAGGTCGGCTGAAATCCTCGTGGATGGATTTAAAGGAGAAGGATATTCCACAGGGAACCCAAGAAACCATCCTTTTTAGAGGAAGGACTGTTTAGCAGACCGTTTTTTTTCTTCTTCTTTCGGGTTCCCTGCTAGTGTCCAGAATAGCAAGAAACCAAGTTCTGAGTCCCACTCTGCAACCATTGGCACCTCGAGAACTCACGCCGGAGACCGCTGGAAGAAAAAGATGCTGGAGCGGGAGGGATTCTCTCGATCCGTTGGAGACGGTTGAAAGCTGGTCGTTTCGTCAGACGCGTCGTTTTTGAAGCTCGCCCTTTTGAGGTGGGTCTATCAGGACACCACAAGAAAGCCAACCATTTTCGGGGGGTCCAAAAGAAGATCGATGCAGCCACATCTCAGGGCATGCGCCTGGAGAATCGGTTTTGTTTCGCCGTGCGCACTGGGCTCCCAAGATCCGCCCGGCCAGTCTCCACGTGGGGCTCCAGGGTTTGCCCCCTGACCCATGGAAAATCAGAGACCGGGTGAAGCCAAGAATCCGTCCGACAGTCCGGACTTTTGGTCTTGACTTTTTCAGGGACGCTGATTGGAAGACCCCCATTTTGGTGGGTCCCCTAAAAAGAAGACACACACGCCCATCACTCAGGACTTCTGAGGGTTCCTTTCCAAAATTGCGCCCGAGGGGTTGCCCCTGCCTGGGATTTCTGGGTTTCCCGCCGGCGTCCCCTGTGTGGACTCGAGGCTCTGCCATCGGATTGGCACCCCGAAAAAGCGACCCCTCAAGTCGTTCGCCCAACACAATACATATGTCTTCTCAGCCTTCCCACTGTGGATGAACCAAATCCTGCCCGATGGATGAACCATGCTATTTATCCACCTCGACTGGGATAAAACAAAATGCATGGGATCACGCACCTACCCCACTGGTGCGAATCGATTTCGTCCATCACTAGGAGCCCTTTCACCCTTTTTTGGGGGAGGGTTCCCCTACTAAAATAGGCGAAACAGAAAAACATCAGGTACCAACTTATTCTAAGCTCTCCACTGGAGGACCCAAATCATGTATCATGTGGCCGTGGGTTAAAATTAAACCACCAGGAATTGGACCGCAGGTTTTAGTCCATGTTTCCAATTACCAGGGTAAGCCATTTTGGGGTTACCAACTATTTTTGACAACCACACCCATGTATCACCCAGTTGGGATGGATGAAGCCCATGGGATTCCTCAGCGACTGTCCATCCTTAGCACCCCGAAGGCAGCATGTTCGAGCACTCCTGCTTGCCCAACTGCTTCCTCGGCACTTGGCCCAGCTCCACAGGCACCAGCCGCGCGGGGCGGATTTGCCGAAACCGCGCCCGCGCACAGATTCGCTGAATACGGATTCGCTGACTTGCTTTGTCTCTTGTTTGATGTTTTGGTTGGTTGGTTGCTTGTATGGTTGGCATGTTTGGCATGTTTGGCATGTTTGGTTGGTTTGGTTTCCTCCTTGGTTTCTTTGCCTCGTTGTTTGTTGCTTGCCTGCTTGTTTATTTGTTTGCTTGCTTATTTGTGGCCCTTCCGGAAGGCCAGCTTGATTTGGCGCAGGCGTGTATCAAGCTTCTTTGCAGAGCACCCGGCAAGAGGAGACACAAGTTGTGCAGGATGGGAGTCAAAGTATGTGGTTTGCATAGGGGATTTTGGAAGGTTGAGTATGGTGGAGTCGTCAAGCCTCTTGTCCTGGCGCAGTTCCAAAGCACCGCTGGACTGCAAAGGTCCCTACATTTTCCGGGCTGTTGATAGCCATAGGACCCGTGGACGTTCGGATCTGACAGTGAGGCATATATTTGCGGGGCTGTTTCTTAGATGCACTTTGAAGCTGGACCATTTGCTTGCTGACACGTCGCTTGCGGGTCTGCCTGCCGATGCATGTGAGCAGTCACTGGCTTGGTTCAGAAGGGCATGAGCGCGCAGCTTTCTTCTCAAGTGATCGGCAGCGACAATGTCTTTGGTGCATTTTGCTTGGATGTTAGTATTTTAACTGTTTGCCAACTTTTAGCAGGGGAGCTGAAAGCAACCGAGATGCGTTGCCGTCAGCCCTGCCTTTCACGCGTTTTATTCCCCTCGAGAGCACCTGGAGCCTTTTCAGAAATCAGGGCAAACGGCCTGGGGCAGGTTCTCGCGACCCAGATCACAATGAGCCCAGATCTATTTGGCGGCTGAAACTTACTTCCATTTGCTTAAGAACATGTGTTATTTTCCGTTGTTCGTTTTAAAGGGAATCTATGACTACTGGAGATATTTGACTTTTTTGCGGGGGCTTAAGCAAATGGAAACTTTGCAACTTCGAATGCCTGGCGTCTTGGTTTGCCGGAAGCATCAAAAGCAGCGCCCGACGGTCGCCCATGCCGCCCAAGGCGTGGCTGGTTACGTGTCTCGTGTCTCTGTTGGAGGGTACCTGGTGGTACCTGGTATCTCCGTTTGTGGCTGTGACTTTTAATAGGGAACCTTTTTTCAAAGTGGTTGGACATGGAAAACCACCAAAGGGCCCTAGTTGAAAATTCAGACCCAAGTGGTCAAGGGGAAACTAGCCATCGTTTGGGGCGGCTTTGCAGACACCGATGCGTGGTTTTTAGGGTTGGTACTCTTGTCAGTGCCAAAGGAAACTCAAGGAAAAGCGCGGTGTATGTTTGGGCCCCATACCGCCAACAAACCACCATCAAACCGCCATCCACGGCAATAAACCAGCAAACAAACAAGCAAACACGCAACCAACCAAGCAACAAACAAGCAAGCAAACAAACAATCAACCAACAGCCATTTCCTTCCTTCCAACAAACCAGCACGGCAGGCGCCCAAAGCCGGCGCCAAGAAGGCAGCGGCTAAGCCTGCCGCAAGCCCTGAGCCTCCGCCGCCAGCAACATGGCGAATGGCCGGGGGGGGGGGGTCTGGTTCTCTACGTGGCCAATAGACTGGGCTAAGACCATTTGGCTGTGGTGGTCAAAACCGTTTTGGGATCCCATTTTGGAAAGGGTAGGTGAATTCACCACCCATGTTCGAACCTGTTTTAGTGGGGATTGGGATTTTCACTGGGGGTGCAATTTGGATTTTGACTCATGGCCATTTGAGTCGCATACAAAAAGTTTAGGACCTTTTTGTTTTTAGCATGCACTTGAGGAAGGGAGTCTAAGTGACTTCATGATCATGACTTCATTTGCGAAATAGAAGGGGCTAATATAAATAGATCTTTTGCCACCATGATCTATGACTGCATGTGGTTTTAGGGCGTTCCAACCCCCCCACTCTACTTCGATGGGGCACTGATATTTTGCCACCGGAAATGCTGCGCCCATGACGCGTGAAGCCTTTCGCTGTGCGTGAGGCAAGATCCCCCAGCCCGGAGAAGTTATCGGCCACTGAGCTGCACTGCACCCGGGACTTGACTCCAGGGGAGCCATGCTCGAAATGGCGTCGTTTCTAAAGGGGGAACCCCCCAAACTGACAGGTTTCCCTTTGGGTTCCCTTCCTAAAATATTTTTTGTATCAGAGCCTTGAAGAACGCTACAGCTTCATAAGGTGCCATCGACACGAGACGATTTTTCGGTTTTGGTGCCCCCTCGAGTTGTGCCAGTTTCTCGGGGTGGTCGATTGCTGTCAGCCCGGGCAAAAGCCCGGGAGAGGCTTGCCGACTTGTGCGGATATGTCGCTTGTGCCAGTGGAAGTGATTCACAAGGACTAGGTGTTTCGTGGGCGCAATGCAGCAAAGGACCAGCTTCTTTCAAAGTGAGGTTTACCACACTACTCCCTTGCGTTTTTAAGGAACAAAACCTGAAAAAAAGAGATGCGTTTCTGTTTCTTTTAAGGAACAAAACCTGAAAAAGAAGATCATCTGCAGGTATCTATGCGAATCCATCCTCTTTTTGTTTGGGGGGGGGGGGAAGTGGGGCAGCCAAACTGATGGGCCTGCTGCATTGACCAGAGGTGTTCGATGCAGAGACCAACCTGAATTTCGTGGAGGACGAAGACTGGGCGTCCCTTGCTGAAAATGCGACCAACCCCACCATTGCCAAGGCGGGACATGCAAATGTGCAGGATATGGTTCTGGCAAAGTACCAACCAGAACCCCCCAACCACTGCTTGTTGGAGAATACTTGGGTCGTGTTTCCTTTGTTTCCCTTCAACTTTAACAATCAAATGGTTCCGATAAGATCGCCCAAACCCATAGCTCCAAGAGCAAAGATCAATGGTGCAGCAGACACACAAGACCATCTGTGGCGTGAATGGGTGCCAGCATTCAACAGAAGGCCTTGAGAAAAGCCACGCACAAGTATCGAGATAAGGTTGTTGTTATCTGCAAGTCAATCTACGTGGATGTGTGGCGAAGTGCCGTGAATGTTAATCGTTGGCCCTCGACTGCGGAATAAACCCAGCAGATCAATGGACAGACACAATACAAATTGCCCAACAACACACGCGGGATTCCAAGGGCTTGTGCCTGGGTTAAAAATTCATCAGCAGGCCCGGCGAAAAACATAACGATCAAGCGAACGCCAACCTATATCGGTATTATGCATGAGCCAGAGCCGGAACAGGTACAAAGGTACGCAAGCCAGCCACAGAACAAGCAGCTACAGCAACATCTCGATCACTGGATCACGGATCCACACCGCGAAAGTGCTAAGCTGCCCAAAACTGGCAAGCAACCAACCCAGCAGACGCTGAAAGGAACAAGGAATGCCAGGCAAACCACCCATCGCTTTCCATTGCAGTTTCAAAGCAGGGACTGTCCCTTGGGATCCACCTTACCTACTGAGAACTGATTGCAAACCTCATCTGACCTAATGTTCTCATTGTCCAGACTTCGACCCAAAACTCGTACATTTGCTACCGCCAAAACACACCTCCAATGTTGGTGTATTTAGTCTTTGTCTCAAAAGGGAAAAGGCATGGATTCCAATCCGTGGTGATTCCTCAGTGTCCAGGAGGGACCCCTGCCCACTTCAATGGCCTGTCTCAAACTTGGGACAACCCCGCCAAACAATCCAGGAAGGTTTCTGGTTGGAGTCCAAGGAAACCCAGCACACCCCACCGTTTTGTGGCTTCCCCTATCTTGCAACCATCCAAAGATGCTGGGAAGCATGGCCGGTGTCATCGCCCGCTTTCCGGGGTTCAGACCAAGAACTCACGTATCTGCACGGATTTATCCTAGTTCATCTGGAACGGAACTCCCTAGTAAAGAACCTTCATGGTTCGGTGAGCACCGCTAGAGAGCCTCAAACAAGGGGCCAAATCAAAGGACACCTGTGGCGTTTGGTGTTTTTTTGTTTTTTTCTGAAAGGATCCCTGAAAAGAATGGGGAAACCTAGAATTCGTGGTCACTCTTTGCGCGTCAGGAAAATCCCACAAAGCGTCAACCAAACAGCTACTTAAAGTCCAAAGATCCGTTGCCAATTCGCCATACAGAAAGAAAGCCCCGGCCGAAGGTCCTAGAATTCTTGTTTCTTTGTTTCGTTTTTTTCTTCGCTCAGGAAAGTCCCAGAAAGCGTCCACCAGATCCCAGATCCTCCCTTAGCCAGATCCTCTTTGGCTTGTTTTGTTCTGTTTTGTTCGCTTGCTCGATTTTCTGTGTCTTGCTTTCTTACTTTGCTCCTTAGCCCCCTGGCCCAAACCCTCCCCCCCCCCCCACCCCGAGGTCCTGGAGGCGGCCCAGCTGCTGCTGGGCGCCGAAGACGCCGCCGGCGGCGGCGGCGACGTGGCGCCGCTGCTGGCGGCGCTGAGAGCGCTGGGCCCAAGGGCGGGGCAGCTGGCGAAGGCCAAGGCAGCGCTGGAGGCGATGGACCTGGGGAAGTTGCAGGCCGGCTTCTTTTTTTTAAGGGTTTGGTGCGGGTCGGTTTTTTTGGTTGATTGTTTTTTTAAGGGTTTGGTGGGGGGCTGGGGGGGCTTCTTGTTGGTTGTTGTTTGTTTGGTTTAGGGTGGTGGGGTGGCTGACTGGCTGGCTGGCTGGCTGGCTGGCTGGCTGGCTGCCTGCCTGCCTGCCTGGCTGGCTGCCTGCCTGGCTGGTTGGTTGGTTGGTTGGTTGGTTGGTTGGTGCTTAGTGGTTTGATTCGGTTGGGGTTTGGTTAAGGGTTGGGTCGGGGTTTCAATGTTTTGGCTTGGTGCTGGGTGGTCTTGTTTGGTAGGGCTTGGTGGGTGGTTTGGCAGAGAGAGGTGAGCGGAGAAACATTTGATCAGGAACCTCTCTCCTTCAAGCATGCCATGAGGTGAGTGAGTTGTGACTCTTGCCCGGGCCCCTGTTCACTCAGGCGGCACATTCCGCGACGAAGCTTTCCACACGAGTACGGACGCCTGTGGCCTTCCAACTATGAAAGTTGACCAGACAAAGGCCACCAACGTCTAAAAGTCTCATACTGTTAATGGCTGGTTTTGTCACCTGATCTTATTCTAATGGTGCTTCTTACCAGACCGGGTCTGGTGGTCATGGATGTTGAAGTATTGTGGTATCAAGCTGTAAAACCAGCTGAGCCACAATCAAAACCCGGGTAGATGAAGGTTAGTAAGGGGCAGTCCCAGACAGAGATAGTTGCGGCCGCCTTCGAAATTCTTTGCATCGTTTTGGGGATCGACCATTTTAATACCGGGTTTTGATTGTGACTCATCTTGGAATCCTGGTACCAAAACAGGGCTCCTTAACAGATACATGTTGCAACCATTTGAAACATGGCTTTTTCCACCAAAATACAGGGAAACCACCATTTACAAGGCACTGTTCAGGTGTTTTTCATGTAAGGATCCCTGCAAGGTCGATGGCTTCTGCTTGGCTTCCTGAGGAGAAGCCCAGCGCTTCAGCCAAGGCGGAGCCCAAAGTGGCGGCGGCGCGGCTTGAAGCCCGTGCTGAGGCTACCCCGCCCCAGTGGCTCAGTGGGTTGCTTCCTGTTTTCAACTTTTTTTGGGAAGGGTTCCCCTTTAAAGTCAACCAACCAAAAAAGGACGTCCTTTTTTGATTAGATGCCACTGGGCATTTGAGGAACCAAGGTGGATGGTTTCCGAGGGAAACGAAAAGCAAACTCATGTGGTCCGGGTTTGCCCGTTACATCGATTCCCGAGAAAAAGAACATCGATAATTTCTGGCTTTGGGAAGCGAGAAGCAGAAGTTCACGTTAGCGGAACCAAACACAGTGTCGTCAATGTGGCCATGGGTCAAAAGCCCGTGCCCCCAGTGAACATCCGAATCCCCACTAAAATAGACTAAAATGGGTGGTGTACCTGCCCCCAAATGGTACCATTGGTTTTGACCCACAGCCATGTGAATCCCTTTGATAGGACCCCATTTTTTCAGGCGATCTCAATTCTCCCATAAGCAACACCTTATAGGGATCCATTTTGCTCGAAACTGCAAAAGCGAAGAGCCAAGACAGGGTTTCCTCCATTTCCCTTTTGGAACAACCCCAACAGTGGCTAGGCTAGGACTTGCAGTTACACCGCGTAGAAAGCGGTTTCGGCGAGGCATTCTACCGTTGCGGCGAGTTGGTGTTCTACCGTTGCCGCAATGCACCACCAACCAAGTGATCCACTTTTACCGCACCCCCCCACCTCCTCCCCCCCCTCCTCTCCCCCCTCCACACACACACACACCTTTACCATAAAAACCTCAATTTGTAGACGTCCTGGAGTTCGGGGCCTAAGGTGAAATCCGCCAGCCGCCGATTTTGGACACATCCGGGTGTCAGAGTTTCAGCCGCCAGCCGCCGATTTTTTTGGGTAGTGGCTGGCTGGCTGATTCCGCCGGGCATCTCCTTGGCTGGCTGGCTGATTCCGCCGGGCTGGTCCTTGGCTGGCTGACTGATTCCGCCGGGCATTTCCTCGGCTGGCTGGCTTATTTTGCGAGTGGTGGATTGCAGGCTGGCGCGCTAGCTGATTCCGCCAACGAGCTCTGACGCTGGCCGGTTGGCTGGTGTCATTGATATCTGACTTCTTCGTTTCGCATGACGCGCTACTGTCAGCGCAGCATGGGTGTTCCTACTTACTTTATGGGGCTGTCGTGTCTCAACTCCGATGCGCAACGCATCCACACGGTCACGTGGTTCGCCCGAGAGCACCGGCAAAAGAATAATCTACTTCTAGAAAAGAAGATCGGATTTGGTAGCAAGTGTTCATCCAACGCTGCAAGTCGTTCAGCGCTTCAAGAACCCGAGCTTCTAACACTCAGACTGCTTGGTTCGCCAATACCGACATGGCTGTGGGTCAAAACCAATGGTACCAAACTGGGGCAGGTCACCACCGATTTTAGAACCAATGTTAACAGGGATTGGGAGGTTTTTGGGGTACCATTTGTATACAAGAGTTTCGGGGGAGATCCCAGCAGCCATGTTTTGATTTGTCCGGAGCTCTGGAGCCTCATCCTCGCCAGGCTCAGGCCAAACTTCTTTTGACTCTTCCAGGCAAGCCGCCATAGTAAGGCAAGGGATTCGGCAGAAACTGAAATCCTGGAGAAACCACAGGTGGCTCAAAATCTGGTGAGCGTTTACTCCAGGCATCTGTGTGTTCACATGTGCGGGCACATCGAGGCTGCTCTGCAGCTCTTTCTTCCACCCCGAACTGGCCAAGAAAAGTTTTCAGCGAAAACCAAGCTGGCTGACAAAACAGCAGCATTCAAGCTTGCACGAAGCACCACAACGTGCACTATACCGCTCCCCGGCATCGTCACCTGTTGATCTGTCCAAACCTTAGATCATCCAACAGCCAAATCGTGTCAATGTCCTTGCAAAGTCTGCTATTCAAAACATGGCACTGGTACGGGAGGGGGGGGGGCATGCCATACACAGATGACTGTGCGGAGCGGTTGGGAGGCTTGTTTTAAAATGGTTGCTCACAAGAGCCGGTCATGGCAGAATCCGAAAGGGGCCTCCTGGGAAAGTAGGCTAAACTACTAGTTTGTTCGGGACAAACGTCAAGGCAAATAACTATAATGGACGAACTGGAACACGCAAGCGCCACGCTCCAAAGCGCTGGTTCTTGCAAAGGCTTTCGGTCATGACCTAATTGACTCAAAACACTCACAGTCAAACGCCACACCCGAAAGTGGTTTACATCCGCAAGGGGGGGGGCATGTTAGGCAGGGCTTACCATGCGTCACAAAAGTGTCGTATACAGAAACTAGTTTTTGTACATGGCCGGCTTTTTGAAATAGGAACGACCGGAAATCGGCTTGCTTGCGGAGAAAGGCGACCCTCAGCAAGGTGAAAAATCAGAAAGGGCCTCTTGAGAAAGTAGGCCTTAAAAGACTTGTTTGCTCAGGGCACACGTCCAGCAAATACCAGCTTGCCTATGGCTTTATCCAATCGATGTGACATAATCAACCCAAGACATCCCGAAGCCTGCGTGCCAAACGCGAAGTGCGCACAGGTCACTGCAGCAGCTGCGGCGCGAGACGCGACAGCTCCAGCGGCGCCGCAGCTGCCACAGCCGCGGCCCCATCCGCGCCAGCGTCACCGCTGCACATCGCTGCCCGGCGGCGCGCGTTGCCGTCCGCGCCGGCTCAGCCTCAGATGAACACGCTGTCGGGGCCTGTGTCGTTACTACACCAGCAAAGATCCAGAAGACTTGTCAGATGGTTTGTGCGAGCCGTACTACGTGACTGGTCATGTCTTCTTCATGCTTCAAGAACCGATTCTCTGCTCTTGGGGCGTGCGCGCCGTGTTGCTCCGCCGTGGTTGTCGCATGTTTTGTCTCTTTTCTACGGGAGCTACTTGTCGATGGCAGGCGCCCTCGTTGGCGGGCCGAGGACACTAAGCATGTGAAGGCAGCAGAACTACAGACGCAAACTGATTGCCCGACCCCTTTCATGGCAACAGTCCGCACTCGAGCTCAGAAAAGGCCTGCTATCACTGGGCTTCTGCCACTTCACTCCTGCTCGTCGATATTAATATGCAAGATGTTGGCGCAGTACTCCGCCAGGGCTGCATCTTGGCGGATGACGGACCAAGCCACTCGCTTGAAGTTGTCGAGCTTCCGCTTCTTTTTGCGGCCATCCTGTTGCTCTTGGACAGCAGCAGCGTGCTTGGTGAGGAGGCCTTTTTCCACCATCTCTTCGAAGGCTTGGCCCATGGCCCCGGTGACATCGTTGCATTCGCGGTAGTTCAGCTTGTGCCGGAGCAAGTCCCGCGCCTGACGGATTGGGGTGATGGGCAAGGTGGACAGTGGACAGCGGGTGTGACCACAAAGCGGGGAGGGAACGCAGAGTGAAAGCAGCTTGTTTGGTGATGACTGTAACATGCGAGTGGTTTGGTGCGTTCAGTGGCAGGCAGTGGACCTCGCCTTTGCCCAAGAAACTTGTCCAACAAAGCGCGGGCTTGTCAGCACCTCCTGCTGGATGAAGAGCTTGTGTGGGAGAGGCTCCTTGCGGGCGGGCTGCGGGGCGGCGGACATCTTCTCGAGCGGCCACTTCTCACTGGCCCATCTGTAGTATCCCCGGTGCAAAGCCAGTTGACGACGCCAAGTGTGGATGGCATAGGCAATCTCAAACACGCTGGCAGCCTCGCGGTGGAAGTCGTCAGCGCCCCTCAGCGCTTGGCACATCCGCTTGCATACGCTGCAGAACTTCAGCATGTCGGTGTCCCACAGCTTAATTTTTTGAATCCAGAACGGACAGAGGATGGTCTCTGTGTCGTTGAGGTAGTCCCGCACGCCGGCTTGCACGGCTCGGAACAAGGTCCGGGCTCGCGGATCCAAGAAGAACTGGCGCTCTTCCTGCCCTTGGATGGCCACGCTTTCTGTGAGGAGGGCCAGGAGCTGTCGCGGGCCATCAGGGACGATGTCAGGGTCCCCATCCAAGGCGCTTTGCGGGAAGCAAATCATGAATCTTTTCTGAAAGCCCCCGAAGGTGGGGCGCAAAGCTTCGGAGGTGGCTTCTCGTTGCCCGTGAACCACGTGCGTCCAAGCATAGTTCTCGCTATCCAAGCGCCCGCTTCCTGCGCTGAAGCTGTCTCGCTCCTGCGAGCAGAAGGTGCACATCTTGGATCTCTGCATGTAGTGCACGCCGGTTTTGGTTTGCTGCTCGGAGAAGCTGGTAAGATAGGTGTTACTCACCTCGTCCGAGATGACTCCTGCCCGTTTGTGCTCCGTCAAGGTGTCCCTGAAGCCTCGCAAGGTCCCATCGTTGCACGTGGTGCGCCCCTCGCGAACCTCAGGTGGAACGTGCTCGACATTGATCATGTCGCGGCTGATGTACTTTACCAGGGAGCTTTTTCGGTCGCTGGCAGACAGCCCTGCAAATGCGCTTATGCCTGCTCCTCGTGTGTGGGCTTCTTCTTCATATTCGCGCAGCCGGGTGCTAGGATTCTCGAGGTACGCCTGGCGGGGCTGCGGTTTCCAGAGGGCTTTGTGTTGTTAACACGGCGGTGGCAATTCACAAATGCTTGTAGAGATGAGCGTACTTGTCATGCCCACGTGTGTCGAGCCTGCATGCAAAGAACACCTTGGTGAAGAGCCTCTAATGCCCAGCCCTGGCTGAGGGCCAAGGATCTCATAGCCGCATAAAACGGCTTGGGCACCATCTTGCGGAACGGGTATGAAGTGGAGCCTACGGTGAAGTGGTTGTCTTCGCAGACAGTGATGTCCTCCAGCCAGGCATAGACGGTCTTGCGGACCTGCGTCGGCTCAGAGATGTCAGCAAACAGGTCTGCAGGGTGAATCTCCGCGTCTGGCAAGGATTGGCCGGCACGGAGCCTGTGGCGGCAGGCGAGGACAAGCGATGCGGAAAGTCAGCACTTGTGCAGAAAAAGCGGCTCCAGCCTTGTGACAAGTTGTATGAACTCATCCTCCTCAGGCTTGTGCTCGGGAGGCTTGAAGTCTGCGAAGGCAAATCCGAAGA